GATCAAGATGCATTTTTGTAGCCAGCAGAGCGTTCTCTCTCTCCCAATGGGTTCCGCTCTTATGGCTTTATTACATTCGGTCATCAAGCTACATAGACGTAATGTACTTTTAGTCTTAAAAGACTCAAGTCCGCTTCCTTTAATATTTTTAGTTTGTTCAAATATCTTCACTCCTTTGCGCTGTTGCTGCGGGTGTAAGAGCACACGGCCGACCTGGTGTTAAGTGGTTACTGGACCCATAAGCATCGCGTTTTCTGATATACGGTCGAAGTCTCAAATTTATTGGATTTTTTTTATTGCTTAGATGGGTGAACGAGCTCACAGCCCACCTGGTGTTAAGTGATTACTGGAGCCCATAGACATCTACAACGTAAACACGCCACCCACCTTAAGATAAGTTCTAAGGTCTCAGTATAGTTACAACGGCAGCCCCACCCTTCAAACCGAAACGCATTACTGCTTCACGGCAGAAATAGGCGGGGTGGTGGTACCTATGCGGACTCACAAGAGGTCCTACAACCAGTAAAAAATGGATAATGGCTGTCCCAGCTTTTAAGCCGGAACTCGTGACAAACGAGGTGGTGATACCTCCATGGAGTTCGTAAGAGACAGACTACTAACAATCAGTTTCGCCGTTGTTCAACTGATTATTTCACAATAAACAACGATATCCTCGTCTCACTATTGAGAATAAGGTTCTAAAAATAAATAAACGCTTACTTATCTTATGTTTACTGACAAAGCGGACAGGTGAGCTACATCGTACTGGCGATAATATAACCATTACCTACAGCATATTAACGTGGATCCCGTTATGTAACTCAAACATAAAAGTACAGTTATAAATACTACGAATTATGCGGTTACGTCATCACTCATATTCAGACGTCAGATTCAGAAGAAAACGAATTATATGTATACAAATAAAAAAAAACAGCCGTTGGTACTCAAGTGCAAATAAATAAAAGCGCTTAGACTAGTAGCCAGGGTTGGATTTGGGTAAGCTGAAAACGGTAGCATAAAAAATGTAAAAAGATAGTATTTATAAAAAAATAAAGTAAGTACACTTTATTAGTTTGAATTAAAAATATCAAAACATTAAATCAACGAGAGTTTACATAAAATTTAATCCTTTTCCAAGTTTATCAGTTCTTCAATATTCGTATCATCCTCAGAAATCTTAGAATTGAATCTTATTAACATACCCTCAGTAGTAATAAAATCAGTACAATTCCCACTTTTGGTACTGTCTTTGATAGCGTCACAAGATAACCAGATAAAAGAATAATAATATGTATATCAATAATATAATTAAAAATTATTACCATAAAAATAATAATTAAACGTACTATTAGACGCCTATGAACTCTATTACCTACTTCATAGAGAGCAATATACAAACTTACTGTTCGATCGTATATAGTACAAATACTATAATTATAGTACGAAATCCAACCCAGCTCGTAGCTCACATTAATGTAAACTGAACATCAGTGCAAAGTTAAACAATAATTATCGAAGTTTAAAATCACAATTGACTATAGTTAATTATTGCAACAGTTTATTTCCAAGTAAATTAATTATCTTATGCTTAAATCCTGTGCGGTATTTTTAATACGAAACATGTGAATCCTTCGGTTTCACCTACGCTTAATCTATAGGTACTTCAATAATAATAAAATAGAAGAGAAAGTATGTACATTTGTACGATTAAATAAAATTATTAAATCTAAATTTTAACAAAAAGATATGTGGAATGAAACGATATTGATTTGGGCACCGTAATGGATCGGTATTATGCATATTTTATTATCTGTGTGTATCGGGTACTTTGGACTTTAAAACTCCGTAACAACTAACAAATACTACGAGTATTAGGCTGAATGTAGTTTGTTACAAGAAATTCATTTATTAGACTAGTACTTAGTTACTTACTACTTACTTACTTCATCATCATCATGATCAACAGCCCACAGTCGTCCACTGCTGGACATAGGCCTCTCCCAATCCACACTACTTACTTAGTATTTAGTTTTTCAATAAAGTTTTCATTGTTTCTATTCAAAATTGGTATTACTTTTTAGGGAAACTATCCGTTTAATTGGTCATTAATGAAACAATATGGTGGTAATGGCTGGATGGTGGTACCTACTTATACGTACGCGATTACACCTACGGCATTAACACCAGTGATTGACGTTTGAGATAACCCTGTACTGGTATAGTACTAAGAGACTACTACTACCCATACTCCAGTACCAACAGCCATAGTTCTGACCCAAAAAAATCATCCCTTGTTCGCCTTTAACGACAACGACGCAAAAAATAGAGTCGTGCTATTCTACTTAGGTCGAGATCACAAAGTCAATGTAGTTACAAAAAGTCATCGTAATAAGCGGTTTATTGTAATTTTAAATGTTTCTTCCAATTACATTACGGATTTATATATTAACTAGCAGACCCGGCCACACGTTGCTGTGGCTACGATTTTTGTTTCTAAATAATACGCGGCCTGCTATGCTAATACCAAAAATTGACAAAGTAAGCACAATTTGATTTCACTGTATTGCGTTTACTACGAAATAAATTTCACTTATACTTTAGCCTCAGCAACACGTGGTGTTTATGCCATTAAATTGTAGCTTATGTGACACGTTGGTATTTTGAACACAGCGCCATCTGTGAGATATTAATGTCAGACAGTATTACAATTGTCTGTAAAAACTGATTTAAGGCGCCATCAGTTTTAGACTTATGAAACTTACAATTTAATAACAAAAATCAATACATGAAATCATATTTTTATTGTTAATTAATAAATATTGCGACCATTAATTGAAATAAAAACCATCCTATCTTTCAAGTTGGATCAAACTGCACATGGTGTGCAAATTTAATTTAAAATCGGTTAAGTAGTTTAGGAGTCCATCGCGGACAAACAACGTGACACGTGATTTATATATATTAAGATTGAATCTTAAATCAAATCAAGTGGTTTATATTGCACCTTAAACAAAGTATTTCAATAGTCTACTAATAATCTCTAATTTCAAAGAAAATATTTGAGTCTTCTTGTTACACCAAAACACACACACACAACACATCTTCGATTTTGGCTAAGATTGGAATTTGAATGATGAAATTAATTGAAAAATATTGTTAGTTTTTTTTTTCAATTACAATAAACGTTTTCAAACAATACTCATTTTGTATATTTATTAGTTTAGAATCAAATCGTAGAGAGAAAGCAATAATGAATTTTTCCGATCATCTGACTAATTCATAACATGTATTCTTAGGTATGTACATACGTGTATACAGAACATTCATGAGATAATTCTCACGCAGAAGCCGCATAAAATGCGTTAAATTAGTCGAGCATTCATNTACAATAAACGTTTTCAAACAATACTCATTTTGTATATTTATTAGTTTAGAATCAAATCGTAGAGAGAAAGCAATAATGAATTTTTCCGATCATCTGACTAATTCATAACATGTATTCTTAGGTATGTACATACGTGTATACAGAACATTCATGAGATAATTCTCACGCAGAAGCCGCATAAAATGCGTTAAATTAGTCGAGCATTCATTCTAAGAATCCACTGAGATATTCACGTAGTTCACTACTATTTATAATGTTCTTTAAGAGTAATAAACTCATTCACATGTGCCTTTATGTCAACAAAATGTCGGCCTGGTTTTTTTTTTATTGAAAGTACCGAATCACAATAGATCCCCGGTCGGCGACCTCCTTCGGTGTCGTACTCTTGCACCTGCCAATAGATTCTCTATGAGACGGATGCCACCAAGGTCGCGAGCCTTTTACACCCTGACTCACGCACTCAAGTTTAAGCTTCGTGAATATTCAGCGCTATTTAATAAAATGAAGAAAGCGTTAACTCGCCCCGCGTCCGCTGAAATTGTTTGTTTCTGACAGATAAAGTCCATAATGAATGAACGTTGGCTAAAAAGAAAGTGTACTTTCACAGAGACATCTCAGTGAGCAACATCACGAGAATGCAGCAAACGACGCTAACTATAATATACAACATCTGCATTACGAAATGAATAATGACGTGATATTTTTCATGCAAATTTCGTTGAAAGCATCTGAGAATTGATTACATATTAAAAATTTGACCTTTAAATACAAAAAAAAAAACAGGTAACATTTTATTAGTTGCTGTTAGACTATAAAATGTTTGTATTGTTTAAGTTCTTCATGCCTTCTCTTGTTTTCAAACAATTGTTTAAGTCTGAACTTAATGGTCGTTATCCCGATGTGATTGACTTAATATTTCAATTTCAGTTCAGATGAATAACAATATAGGCATTGTGCCCACTAAACCTACGTTCCACTAGCCAACTAACATTATGTACAAACAATCAATGACATACTTTAAATCGTCGATATTACTCGTAATTCGTTCACTAAGTGTTTAGTTACAGAAAATTCAATTATTTTAACAGTTCAGTTTATTTTAATAGTTCAAACAACTGTTAAATCATACGAAGTATCCTCAATCTATAATCATTGTGAATGCGATTATGAACAAAACATTCCTGCTCATTATAACGATTTTATACGCAGTTTGATACATAATACATGTAATAAGATAAATATACACATCGCTTGCGTGAATCACCATAAGTGCAGTTTAGTTAGTTATCTTTTTACAAAACGGGGCTGGAATACTTGTACGAATCTCGATTTTGCTTTGTTTAATTCGAGCGATTACTTTTTATAAAAGGTCATTTAAGGTTGCGCAAACAATAATAATTTCGAAATGATAGAAACGTTATCCAATCCAATGCATTAAAATACATTTTGTGATAACAGAAATGATTGAACGATTACTTTTAAGGAAATAATTTTATTAAACACACGTGAGAGGTTACACTCGTAATAATACGTGATTTCATTATATTATTACATGACTATACAATAGCGATGACAGAGTTTATTTTGATTATAAGCAATGGTTTAGAATTACCTTCGGATATGGTGGGCAGCACGTTGACAAAGTTAACAATCCCAACGCCTGTTAGCTGACTCATTCACAAAAACTAAAACTGACAATTTCCAAGAAATCCGGGCAGCCGAGTACGTTCACGAAACACGAACGTGCAAAATTAAATAAAAAAATTCAAAACAATACCGGTCACTCACTTGACACTATCACATAGCCCATATAGATAAGTACACTGAATTAAATTTTTGGCACATCAGATTTTTGCAGCCATATCGTTGGTACGAAACCTAGATTCGAACGAAATCGTTACAATTGTTAAATCAGGATGTTCACAGTGCACACTTCTTCCGTAGCAAGCAAAGGGAAACGGAAAACTATGACACGAGAACGCCCTAGATAATATTATTATAATTTGTGGCGTCGGATGCGCGTACGCCGTTGATTCGTCGCGAAGCGCCAGAGCCTACTGCTTGCCGACCCGGACCCGCCGTCGCGCAGACAAGCGAAGCCAACGCCCGCTCACCAGTTCACCTACTCTTATCTTCCGATGCCTGTGTATGTACAGTCGGTTACTTGTTCTCCGCACTAACTTGACCGGTTTCTTGGGCTGCATTGAATGCACTTTATTCTGTACATTGCAAGTACGTAGCTGCGAGACGAAACGAGACCGAGAATGGAAAAGTTGTTCCACGGCACATTTATTAATTCCGTATTCGTTCTTAGGACCTTTGTTAATCGCGACGTTGATAAGAAAGGAAAGGAATTCATGATTGATAAACGTACGTACAACTGATTAATTTGGTTTGTGCTTTAATATTATTACGAAAACGATAAATATTCTGTTGCAAGAACAATGAAGAGTTAGAAAATTTGTTCCTGATTACTGTTTACACGTGTGAATAGTTAGGTATTTCGAATAAGCTATTAAGTAAGTCTTCTTATAAAAGCTGGAGATGTAACTACAAAACTTTTACTTCCTATAATATACAGTTTACCATAAATTTTATCGAAACAAAAAGGAGAGAACCAGCGATGAGAATAACATTTTTTTTATTATGTCGATAAACCACAAAGCGATTATTCGAACAGAAGGGTTATCATGCTAAATGCTTTTGTACTATAATTATCGCTAATCGATAAAATGAGGTCATGATGTGACCAGTCATAGACATGACGTTCTAATAATGCACTATAAATATCGAAGTATAAATAGCAAGGCACAATAATGTAAGTGTGACGCATTCTAACGGTAATAGAGTTTACTAGGTGCGTCCCACCTAGTAAGTGGTAATTAATGATTAGATTTGTGGTTAAATTGTTGTCCCAACGTTATATTTTGAATAGATAATATTTTATGCGCTTGGAATTAAAGATTGATTGCGCTTGGCTCTATAATATCATGAAATGATATTATGTTATGTTATGCCCTCACACTAGCACCTAAGTCATATATCAATTCTTATAAACACATAATGTACTCTAACTCTTAATTCTTAAGTACTTACTTATTTCCTAATGTTACTAAATCATTTGTATATTGTTTACCTTACATCAAATTTTCATTTGTAATTAGAACATTAGTTAGTATGTATTCCTTTCACATTAGTAATGTCCTGTCTACTACATCATTTACTAATTGTATTGTTTGGAAATCCTAAATATGTTTACCAATAAGGTTCATAGTCTGAATGATTCATTTACTAATCGTTTAGCAAATACTATTCATGTACCTATATATTCTCTTTCTCCTTAAAACTCAGGAGTTCGAAATCAATATTCAAGCTACATCCTAACTGTATTCGTGTGACATCAGATTCTTGTAAAGGATAAATAAATTCAGTGTGTATTAATTAAAACAAAGTACTTTTTTAAAACTACAAAATTGATCACCGGGAAAAGCTTATACTGCTGCGTACATAATAATATATAATAATATGATAACATCACAAGATATAATTTATTTCTTACCTTTTTATTTAAAATTATTACGACTTCCATTTCATACATCGAGTATAACCGGTAACCACTTTGCGTTAGGTTAGTCGTGAGCTCGTCCACGCAACTACGCAATAAATAAATAAAATTGTGATTTACCATTATCTTACTGGTGGTAGGATGGGTAGGTTCCATTACCCTACCTATTTCTGCCGTGAAGCAGTATTGCACTTTTGGTTTGAAGAGTGAGGCAGTCGTTGTATTATAAAAACGAGACTTAGAACTCATGTCTCAAGATGGGTGCCGACGGCATTTACGTTATTAATGTCTATAGACTCCGATAACCACTTAACGCCATGAGGGCCCTGAGCTCGTCTACCCATTTAAGCATTAAAATTAAAATACGATAAAAACATCCAGTTAGTGACTGTTTAAATTCGATTTTAAATAGTGAACTATGGTTTTTTAAATTACAAGCTCTCTCAGTATGTAAGGTAAGTACTCACTGGCTTATAAAACAATAGTCGATTCGACAGAACAATTTTTACTGGTGGTAGGACATATTGTTAGTCCGCACGGGCAGGTACCACCACCCTGCATATTTTTGCCGTGAAGCAGTAATGCGTTTCGGTTTAAAGGCTAGTAAGGAACGTTGACCTACACGACGACCTGGGCCCCGAATCAATCCGGAAATACATGAAGTCACATCGGAACAGTACTTCGATAAGGCTATGCGTCATGATAATCGCCTTATCGTTGCCGCCGCTGACTACTCCCCGAATTCATGCAGGAGCCAGTCACCGTCGACGCCCTAGACACGTACTTACGGATCCATCAGATCCTTTGCATTAGATGCCTTCAGCTCTAGCACTAGGAGCAGGCTTCAGGACCCCGGTAACTGTACTCGTCGAACTCGACAAAGAGGTCGACGTGCAACCTAACCCATGCATCAGCCCGGTGAGTTTCTCGCCGGATCTTCTCAGCGGGTCACGATTCCGATCCGGTAGTAGATTCATTCGCGAAGCAATTGCTCTTGAGTTGTTAGGTCTCCTTCAGAGGCGCTCGGGCAGTTGTTAGCAAATCCCACCCCTCCTGGCTGAGCCTTTGCTCGCCCACCCGCCCACCTGTCCTGATGAAACTGGAAAGGCCTTCGGGCCACCAATAATCTATCAATCATAAAAAAAAGGTTTAAAGGGCGGGGAATCCGTTATACTGTCAAAACTGAGACCTTACAACTCATGTCTCAAGGTGAGTGGCGGCATTTACGTTGTAGATGTCTATGTGCTCCGGTAACCACTTAACACCAGGTGGGCCGTGAGATCGTACATCCAACTAAGCAATAAAAAAAAATTACCAACCTAGTTTTAAGCAGTAGCCTCATTTCATGACCAGCGTCCACTACTATAAGAAAAACCGGCCTCTTTGAGACATGGAAGTAAGCCCATTATTTTATAATATTAAAATAACAACTATCCGTTTTAAAATAATTGTATATTTAATGAAAACACGAAATTATCTTCGGACACCTCGATATGAACATGTATGACGACAATAATAGGTATTAATTATCGAAAAATGCAATCTTGCACAATGTCCAACGAAATCAGATTGCATAAAAAAATTATCTCAGAGACGAGCGTTAATAAAAAAATTCAGCACGTAAATTGTGTTTTTCAAATTACGAGTACATAAAACGTCTTTGAAATGTATTTACTTTGTGATCGAATAACTGCAAAAATGTTCATTTTTCAACAGTCAAGTGCTCGAACAGAACATCAAAGTTGATCGTGTTTTTCGAATAAACAATTTGGACGTAATGTAATTTTATAGCACCATAAAGAATACTCACTTCTCTTGGAAGTGCCGAAGCCATCTTCATGGCCGTTGCACGTCCTATCTTCATCGTACTCATAAACCTTGAAAGTTTCGAAGGAATACAGCTTGGCGCCTTTTAAGTACTTCTATTCACTAAATTTATGACTAAATTAAAAGTTAATAATATTTTCTGCAGCGATTGTTCTTTCTGATGACGTTTTTATCACACTTCGTTTCGAAATGCACAAAACACTTAATCGTCAAACAAAATTAGTTCAACAATCGTCCCACTGCTCCCCCAAGAATTTCGAATGGGTAACTTTTGTCACCTCGTAACGACCGCGAGGGGAAATGTTTACAATCACTTCGATAACTTACAAAGATAGTATCGCGCTTACGCACGTCTCTATTGTTCCGGCGAAACAATAGCGCGAGTATTTATTAATTGTCAGACTGACGGCGTGACTTTCTGAAAAATTTCGAAGTTAAGGTATGCCGATCGTCGAATGATCAGAGGGCGAGTCGGGCAGGAGTGCTCGAGGAGGCGACCGCGTGTCGTCTGGCTGGGCTGCAGTGCCGCTAACCGCCGCGCCGGCGCCCGGAACTGTGTCAGCAGTCGGCGCCCAAAGCACCCCGGCGCACCCCGGCTTTTCATCCACACACACCTCTCTCTACGCTTGACGCATCAATACATTTGTAGCCCGTATGCACGTAACAATGTGCAACAACTATTGCCGCACCAATTAATGTCTCAAATGACTTCATTGTGTTGTATTCTATCCTCATGGTCTATATACAATATTAAACCACTGATTTCCTCATTAAACTTATTCGAAACCAAATTTTAATTACTTGGGAGATTTTATCATTAATTAATCATTATTTAAAGAACAAACCTTTAAACTACGATTAGCCGGGATAACTCAGCTAAAGCTTATTTCGTAACTTTAATAATATTTATGTAATCGTTGAATAGATTACGTCACGTCATATGACGGTGGAGGAAAACGACAGTAACTCAAATTTAGTTAGTCTAGTTTACCGAGAAATAAAATTGAATTTGAGATTAAAATGGGTGAATTATGCAGACGGACTGATAAGCTACAATGCACATCGGATCCCATATAAGAAGAGAAGAGGCGACAACTATAACCGGAAATTTCGTTCTGAGATCAAGTGTCTTTATTGTAAATTTAATAATAAGTACTGTACAAAATGTAATGAGTCCCATTCCCACGTGTGTCGTGATATGCTACACAATTCTTCCATAAAATATTTTATAACCTACTTACAGATTATGTACATTTACGTTTTATTACACGAAGTTGTTCTTACGTCGCGGTCGTCGTTCGTGAACACAGGAATCTACCTCAGAATCGAATCGTAACAGAATTTAATTCTGGGGCTACACTAAGACTCTGTTATCTATTAGGCCCCCGACCAATTGACACATGTATGACGGAACAAAACTCGACAACGGCTCGACCAATTTGAATGGTCTCTCCTTAGTAAAAAACGCAATTAAAATGGACAAGGTTCGTCTGGAAATATGTATGTACTTGAAATATTTATACGTTTAGCGACAGACACGACAGAGCGTAACCCAGTTTCACTAGTGATAAATATATACTACAAAAAGTCATTTAATATGATGATTCCAAAATGTTTCTACAATCATATTTCGAAGCTTTCGCGTCACACCCTTTTCATATTTTATTTCAGTATTTTTAAAGGGAATGTATTTTAATTGTTGTGTTTAATCTCAGTTTTCGTTTTTATTAAACAGCCGTATCTATATATGGACGGTTTATTTGAAAGTGTGTTTAATTTCTCAAAA